GAGGAGGAGGAGGAGGAGGAGGAGAGGGTGGGACTTGGGAGACAGGGAGATGAGAGGGAGGAGAGAGCTGGGGAGGGAGGAGAGAGCTGGGAGGAGGGTGAAGGATAGGAGGGAGGAGGAGGAGGAGGAGGAGGAGGAGGAGGAGGAGAGGAGAAGGGGGAGGAGGAGGAGGAGGAGGAGGAGGAGGAGGAGGAGGAGGAGGAGGAGAAGGAGGCGCGGACCCCTCCACCCCCTGGATCATCAACGACGTGACGATGAAGATGCCACCGTCAGTCAATCGAATTGGTAGTCCCCCCTGCTGCTGCGTCCAGCCTGCAGCTGTGTGCCCGAGCGGGGATCGTGCCACTCTCTCCGCCGGCGCCTGACTCAATTTCGGCCCGCACTGCTGCACGAACGAGATGGGCACGGAAAGAATGGGCACAATGCTCAACAGAGGATCTTGTTCATTTTGTACAGGACTCGCTGTCGGTGTCGCCGCGGCCTGTGCCCATTCGAGACAGAAGGCCGCCTGCCCAACAGCGGCCGCTGTTGGTTTGGGCACTGTACAGTCGGGGCCCTGAAGAAGGAACCCTTTTCGTTGGGGAGGGGCTCCGTGTTCCTTGATTGTTTCGCAGCTTGCATTTGATTTTCCTTAGGTTTTCGATACGAAATCGAAGTTTGACTTATGGAAAATAGGGGCCTCGTTCCTTATCTAGGGTTCCTTTGGTCAACGCTTCGACTGTACCCATTCTCTCCGTACCCATTTCGGGCGTCCAAAGCACCGCTGCGGCCACGGCCTCGCCGCAGAGACAGCGTCTGAGCCCGCGGCGGGGTTGGGCCCAGCAGGCGGTCGGGCCCTCGCGGCGGGGGGGCGCGCCCGTGGCCGACGGCGTGCAGAGCGCGAAGGCAGACACCTCCACGCAGGGCGCTCCTTGGGGCCCCCCCTCCCCCTGTGCGGCCCCCCCCTGCGCGCGCCCGCAGTTCGGGTATAGCCAGGACCCCGGGTAAGGGGAGGAGGAGGAGGAGGAGGAGGAGGAAGAGGAGGAGGAGGAGGAGGAGGAGGAGGAGGAAGAGGAGGAGGACGAGGAGTTACGTAGTGGTAGGGCCGTAATCGGTGCTTTTCGGGTGACGGCAGTGCCGGTTCGTGGACAAAGGACGGGGGGGGCGCCCCCGGTGCAGATCACCAAGCCAGGTTCCTCTGAGCCCAGTTCTGCCAAAGCGCCCGATCGCAGGGCCGCGCGCCCGCCTCCGAGAGCGACGAGGAGGGGGCCCTGCGCGACGAGGCGCCGCCGGCCGCCCGGGGCGCCGCCGCCGGCGGCCGCGGCCCCGCGGCCCCGCCGCCGGCCCCAGCACCGGGCGCGGAGGGCAGCGCGGCCTTCGAGAGCGAGGAGGATCGGGGATCGGTTACGTTGCATCTTCGGGGAACCTCGCCTGTCCCCGAAATTTATGCCTTTCCTTGTGCCCGACGCGGGCGCGATGCGGACTCGACGCGGATCTGGTGTGGATTCGGCGCGGATTCGACACGGATTCAGCACAGATCCGACGAGGCCGACATCGATTCGACACGGATTCGACGCGGATAGGGCCGCGACGGGACAGACAAGGCCCCCCGAGAATGCAGCACAAGATCGGTAGGGCTTTCCATGTGCGTTCGTGGGAGCCTTGGGCAGCGACATTGGTCAGTGCTGGCCAAGCCACCCCTGCCCAACCCGGAGGCCCTGGGCCATCCCGAAGTTCGGTCTGGGGAGGGGTACGACGGCGTTTTTCAACGTGCGTCCTCGATGTTCTGGAGTGCCCCCCCACTGAAAACCGACGAGTCCAGCGCTGATTTCGAGTTGGGTCGGGGTGGTTTGGTAGGTAGGCAATTAAAACCAGCTTCTCCCGCATTTGGACCGCCTGTCTTCCTGCTCCTCCGTGTCCTCCTGCTCCCCCTGCTTTTCCTCCATCCTCCTCCTCCTCGTTCTTCTCGTCTCCCTGGTGAAAGGGGCGAATCCGGTCCAAATCGTGCCCAAAGCGGGTCCCAAATGTGCTCTGAATCCAGTCCAGCTCAGGTCCAAACTGGGCAGCGCCGGGGGTCACGTAGGTTCCCGTGGAACAGGCACCAAGACTCGGGCTCGCCAGATCTCTGAGTCGCCGGCGCTTTTCGACGGCCCCGCATTCGAGGGATGTCTGTTGCGCAGGAGATCGCGGCAAAATTTCAGGTTGGGCCTCGTCATTTTCTTGGCGGCCCCGTCAGGCCAGCCCGAGTCCATCAACTCTGAGTCTTAAGTGGTAAGTCACAGAAGCTTCCCTTCGTCTTGGATTGATTGTATATCGGTGACTAGCGCCCAATAGCGTGCAATAGCGCCACATAGCGCTCAATAGCGCCCAACAGCGCCGAATAGCGCTCAAATGGCGCCCACTAGCGCCCACTAGCGACCATTGGCGCAGGATGTCCGCTTTGTGCGAGATTGGGAACGCTACTGGGCGCAATGGGGACGACCGAAAGTTTCGTAGTTTTTTGAAGGTCCCGTCTTTGCAGTTCTATAGATGGTCGATATGGGTCGTTGGGTCGATACATCTGCCGACTCAACACCCTACCCTACATGTATTTAGGTATTTCTGGACTCCGAGATCCCAATCTGGCGATCTAGCAGCCTTCCTACTTCAAGAGTGTAGCGGCTCTCCCTCTTCCCTCTTGTCCAATGGGCGGGCGGAAGCCCGATCCATTATCAACGCCTTCTTACTTCATGATTCTACCCACTTCTGACCGACGAATAAACCTGAGATCCGACGTTGCGGAAAAATGCAACATCGCAGAACGTCACGACCAGAGCTTTGGATTCTGGACCCCACCGCGGCATTTCTCGAGACGGATCGATCTGTGAGGTCCCGGGGCCCGAAATTTTGCAAACATCCCGGAGGTTGGTAGACCTCCTACCCTGACACGTCGATTAGCGAATTTACCATCTTCGGTTCGCGAGAGGGCGTCGCGGCCGTCATTTTTGCGGGTGCAGGTCCGTCGGTCCCTAGGCCGTTTTCATGAAAGGGTGGTTTATGAAAGGGAGGTTTGTCCACCGCCGAACCTCGCCCGTTGTACCAGACTTGCGACGCCAGGATCTCAGGGAATGGCGCACCAGAAGAGTCTCGCGCCTCCCCTTATGATGTTCCAACCTATTTTAGCCTTGACCACCAGAATTAATGTCGAGCACCAAGAAAATACCCCAAACATCTGGGATTTTCGCGTGTCGGGCCCTGGGAGACATTCTTTCGACACTCTTTCGACACTGGTTCGACTCTTTTTGCGACACTCTTGCGACACTTTTCTGGGTGCTCGAAATTATTTCTGTGACGTGGTCCTTAAGTAGGATGGGAGCAACGTCCCTGACCTTCCAGAGCGCTAACAAATAGCAGTCCAGACCTATAGATCTATCTGGACTGCCTCAAACCTCGACAGGACTTAGGACGTCGACGTCCTGGTGCTATTTTTCAGCCCTCCTGGAAGGTCAGGGTAAGCCTCCCCGACAGGAGGGGGCCCTGAGCGAGGCCCCGCCGGCCCCGCCGGAGGCCGCCGCGGCGCCGCCGGGCGAGCCCCGCGCCGGCCTCCGGGGCGCAGCGCCGCCGGGCAGCGGCGGCGGCAGCTGCGGGGAGGCCTCGCCCGCGCGGGCGGCGGAGGTCCCGAGCGGCAAACATATTCCAGATTTCGTAATAAGGGAGGGGGTCTGGACCCTCCAAGACAAGCCATTTCAGACCTCCCCCGTGGGAGAACCCTCCAAAACATCGTCCCCAGACCCCCCAGGCCCTCCAAGATAGCCTGGAAGAGACCCCCCCCCCCCGAAATGAGACCCCCCCTCCCTTTATTACGAAATTTGGAGTAGACGGGTAGGCCTCCTAGATCGGGTGTTGCCAGAAGTGCCCCTGGGCCAAGGTGCCCCCAGGATGCTCGGGGTAGCCCAAACGGCCTCCAAAGCACCCCTCACGAGGCCCAGAGGGCCCCAGGGTGTGCAGAATGGAGCGAAAAGCTGGGGACACCTTGGGCCAGGGGTACTTCTAGCAACACCCGACTAGACGGCGTCGGAGTAGATTTCAGTCGGGCACGGCCCTCTGCAGGAGGACGGTTCAGAAGCAGTCAAGAACTACTCTGGGGACGATTCTTGTTGAAACTATGTTGGATCGTTTTGAAGTGCGTTTTGACTATTCCTGGTTTTTCCTCCCAAGCCCGCCTGTAGGAGGACATGCCCGACCTAACTATAGGCCTCCTAGACGGTGTCGGAGTAGATGGGGTCGGAGGATCGCGCCGCATCGCCGATGCGGCTCGATGTGGGGCCCAATTTGCTTCACGTCGACGTCGCTAATGCATCGCCGACGTCGACGATGCGTGGCCGGTGCATCGCCGATGCATCGCCGATGCATCGCCGATGTATCGGCGATGCGGCACGAGCTTGCGACCCCACCTACTCCGACCCCACCTACTCCGATCCCATCTACGAGGCCTCTAACATAGCTATGCACCCGGACCGAGGTACAAGATCGAGATCGGGTCGGGGAGGGTACCCGAATTTTCTTCCTGTTTGTTGGGTACTCTTGTTGATCCTGGGGAGGGCACCCTTGGATGTTCTGTGTGTTCTGGCCAGCGGAGGATCTCACGTTCTTGAAGGCTGCTCTTCTGTCCTAGGTCCGACTGTATCCGCGTCTTCGCGGCCTGGATTCTGGCACGACCCTGAGATCGTGGCGTCGCATTTTCTTCGCGACGGGCGATTTTTTTGCAAGATTTCGGGCCCCGGGACCCTCACATATCGATCCGGCTCGAGAAATGGCGCGGAAAGATGCGGTCCATGGCTCCCGTCGCGAGTTTTGGCGATGTCGCAATTCTTTTGCAACGTCGGATCTCGGGGAAGATCCCGCGGATACGCGGTCGCACGGACGTTCCGCGCGGGGCATCCGCGAGAAACCAATCCGTATCCGCGGGGTCGCGGCCCAGGGGCCCGGCCCGCGAGGCCGCGGAGGCTGCGGAGACAGGTGTGTGTGTTTCCGCCCACGGAGAGGTGCAGCTCGCCCCGAGCGAGTTCGAGCCGGCTCCGCCAGCCTCGGGAAGCGCCTCGGCCGCTGCCCCGCAGGTGGGGGCTCCACGGAGGAGAGGTTTTTTTGTATGATGACAGGCCCAGCTCTCCGACGACCCTCAGGAGAACAACAAGTCGCCACAAACCCAAACTTTTGGCGCTCGATGCGGATCTCTTGCAGCCGCGCGGGGCTCCCCAGCGGCGCCTTCGGCGCCGCCCCTGGCGCGCGGAGCGAGCCAGGGAGGGGGGTCCAGCGCAGTGCAGAGAACTGCCCACGATTTGCCAAAAGTCTATGTTGATTGCGTTTTTTCTTTATCCAGGCCTGCGTGTTCCAGTCTGGGTGGTTGTCCATTTGGCCTCCGGCGCCCGCAATTGGGCCCCCCGACCACGACAGGTGAATTTCTTGGGCGAAAGTCTTCGCCCGGGGAATGGACATCAGTAGTAAGCCGGGCACGTCCCTCTACAGGAGGAATATGCAAAAATATGACTCGGGCCGTTTCGACCATTTTTAAGCATGTTGGGGTATTTCTCGGATTTGTTGAAATTTCCCCTCCGAAGCCCGCCTGTAGGAGGACATGCCCGACCTGAGAATTACTAGTAGCAAAAGCCAGATCGTCGGATGTCTGGGGGTGCCGCTGCCCCTCCTCTGGCCTTCGGCTCTCCGGGCCGCCTGGGCGGCACTGGTCCCCACAGCTGGATCCGCCCCGAGCACTTCTGGTCTTCGGCTCTCCGGGCCGCCTGGGCGGCCCTGGTCCCCACAGCTGGATCCGCCCCGAGAACTTCACGGGGGAATGCCTCGCGAGCATCCCGTCGTCGCATGCCTGGGGACACCGCTGCCCTCCCTCCCACGTCGTCGGCCCCCCGGGGCCTCCTGGGGGAGGCCTCGGGTCGCCACGGCCGGACGCGCCCCGGCCCAGTGCGGGGCATAGGAGGCACCCCCGGGAGAGGCCTGGGGAGCAGGTGGGGTGTCGGTGCCGGGAGCGGAAAAGAGAGGGGTGATACTTAGCGGGGGGGGGGATTTCACGGCGCGGGCCACGGGTTTTCCTCAGGTTTCATGGCGCCTCTTCTGATTCCATGACGTCCCAGGCCCCCCCGCTGGGCCGCGCACGTGCCGCCGGTCATGATTTGCACCCCCCTTCTCTTGGACACCCCCCTCTTGGCCACTCCCGACGGTGTCTTCTTGCTCCCCCCCGTAGGCTGCTCTACCGACCCCTGGCGGCTGCGCGGGCCCCGCTGGGGCGGGGGGCGCTGCGGCACAGGGGCCGCCCAGCCCGAGGTCTGCTCGGGTGGCCTCGGAGCTCTCGGCCGCCGACCCGTCCGCGGAGGCCACCGCGGCGAGCGCTGCTGCTGGCCCGGGCAGGAGCTCCGAGGCGAGCCCACCAGAAGGCGCCACAGCGCCAGTGCAGCCCACTGAACCAGCCTCCCCGGACGCCTCGGCCGCGCCCTCCGCCGGCGTGGGGGGCAGCAGCGAGGCCCCGCCACAGCGCACCGCGTCGAGCGTGCACCACGCGGGTGGCCACCAGGACCTGCCTCCCCTGGCCTCGGGGGGCGCCCGAGAGCAGCCGGTGGCCCACCGCCAGGAGCCACCTCCGCCAGCACCCGCCGCTCCGGCGATGCGCGACAGCTGCCGCGGGGCGGCCCTGACGGAGGGCGCCGTGGCACAGGTGCATTCGTCGGCGGCGGGTGAGGGGACGGAAGTGAGAAGAAGAGGCGGGACTTCGCACAAGAAGCTCTGAGGGCCTCGGACCTTTGAGAAGTATTCTGAGCTGTCCTCCGCGAGACACAGAGAACCTCTCAGAGGGCCAGTGGGCTTCTGGGGAGCCCCGCCGCCTTCTGAGAAGGCCTCCTCCTCACTTCCCGCCCTCGCTCGCCGCCGAACTCGGTTGCAACTCCTGGGCGCCTTGCGTCCCCTTGGAATCCCGTGCTCCGGGTGCAGCTGCGCGCGCTAGCGTTTTCCAAGCGATGGTGCAGTGCGGATTGAGCGTCGACTCGGCGTGGGTTAGCCCAGAGTAGCGTCGGCCAGCGTCGAGTCGCGAGGGCCAGCAAGATGACTCTGGAGGCCCCCGTGAATTGCCACAGAAGGTGCAGCCTGCCGCCGCCAGCTCCCCGCAACCCCCTCGGGCAGCCTCGGGAGGTGCCCCGACCACCCCGCCGCAGCAGGCAGAGGCCGACGGGGCGGCGTCCAGCATGAGTGGAGAAGCGGGCCTGCAGGCGCCCGCCAGGGGCCCCGGACAGCTGCCTCGGCCTGCCTCGGAAGATGGCCCGATCACTCCCTCTTCGCCGGCAGCAGGTGCAGCTGCCGCGGTCTGCGGCGGCGACGCGGGCGGCTGCATCGAGGTGGCCAAGGTCGAAGTCCTTGGGCGCCCTCGGCACGCCTCGGGGAACGCCTCGGACAGCCCACTGCCGACGGCGGCCGCCCCGGGAGGCCCGGGCAGCGGCAGGGCCACCCTGCAGGGGGAGGGCAGCGCGGCAGGTGGGCAGGCCGCCGCTGGCGCCCAGAAGCCTCCTCAGGAATCCTCCGGAGACGCCTCGGTCGCTCACCCGCCAGCAGCGGCCGCCCCGGCGGCACCCGACAGCGGAGAGGCGACCGTGCCAGAGCCTCCCGCTGGCACCCAGCAGCCGCAGCCACCTCCGCCAGCCACGGGAGGCGCCGCGGCCTCTCCGCAGCCGGCCCAGGCGGCTGCGGCGACGCCCGACGGCGGCGCGTGCGGCAGCAAGCAGGCGACCCCGGCGGCTGGCGCTGTGGCGCCCGTGCGGCCTGCCGACGGCCCCCAGGTCGGCGCCGAGGGTGCCCGCCTGCGCGCGGCGGTGCAGCAGGACAGGCGCGACTTCGAGGCGTGGTCGAGGCTGCTCGAGCTGGTGGAGCGGAGCGGCAGCGACGACGCCGAGGCGCTGTACAGCGACTTCCTGGAGGAGTTCCCGCTGTGCTGGGGCTACTGGAAGAGGCTGGCGGAGCTCGTGGCCGCCCGAAGGGGCGCCGCCGAGGCGCTGGCGGTGTACGAGCGCGGCGCGAGCGTCGCCGCGCCCTGCGTGGACCTGTGGCTGCACTACTGCGACGCCGCGAGGGCCGCGGTGGGCAACGGCTGCACGGAGAGCGACGCGCGGGCCGTGTTCGCGCGCGCCCTGTCCGCGGCGGGCCTCGACTGGCGCGCCGGGCCCCTCTGGGAGCGCTGCGTCGACTTCGAGCAGGCCCTCGGCAACTGGAGCGGCGTCGGCGAGGCGTTCCGGCGGGCCCTGGCCGTGCCCATGCAGGGCCTGCCCGCGCTGCGCACCCGCCTCCAGCGCGCCACCATCGGCGCGCAGGTCGCGAGGGACAAGCAGACACGGATTCAGAGAGTCATAGATCTCGAATATGTCAATCTATATATATACACATATGTATTGGGATCTATGGGAGATGGAGGGTGGAAAACAACCTATGGGGATGCTGGGATGTGTGCCCATTTATCCAGGTGGCTTACGCCATTCCGCCGGCCCCCAGAGGGAGCAAGAGCTTGCGGCAATCGTGGAAGTTTTCCGTAAGGGCTTCGCCCCTGCCGCCGGCCCCCTCTCTCGGAGAATGGGCCATGGAAGAGCTAAGTCATGAGGCCTTGGCGCTGTCGTGAAGCAGTATCGAAACTTCATGCGAAGCCGAGTCGCAATCAGCAAAACCAACTGATCACAAGAGGGGTTACCACACCTGGCGATTGGTAAGACGTGTATGGTTTAAGGGCTTGGTTACCACACCTTGCGATTAAAGGGCCGAGGGAGTTCTCGCAGTTTGGGTTACCACGCCTTGCGATGGATGTGCGTGATGGGTGGCACCGAATTTCAGAAATGTGGCAAATCCCCTGTGTTTTTGGACCCTGACCCCGCGGATCTGCGTGAGGGGTGGCACCGAATTTCAGAAATGTGGCAAATCCCCTGTGTTTTTGGACCCTGACCCCGCGGATCTGCGTGAGGGGTGGCACCGAATTTCAGAAATGTGGCAAATCCCTGTGTTTTTGGACCCTGACCCCGCGGATCTGCGTGAGGGGTGGCACCGAATTTCAGAAATGTGGCAAATCCCTGTGTTTTTGGACCCTGACCCCGCGGATCTGCGTGAGGGGTGGCACCGAATTTCAGAAATGTGGCAAATCCCTTGTGTTTTTGGACCCTGACCCCGCGGATCTGCGTGAGGGGTGGCACCGAATTTCAGAAATGTGGCAAATCCCATGTGTTTTTGGACCCTGACCCCGCGGATCTGCGTGAGGGGTGTTGATTTCGAGCTCCCCCAGCAATTCAGACAACGCGCCCAGGTGAGGCTAAAAATCCTGTTTGGGCCTACCCCCCCCTCGCGCGGTCAATCACCTAGTTAAAGTAACCAGCAAGAAGTCAACTAGTTACAGTAACCAGCAAGAAGCAGAACTGTAACACTGGAAACTACAACCTACGACTGGTACAGGAAACTGCGAATCACGCGCCTACAGCCTGGTGGCCCCACAAGGGGGCCGGCGGATTTCGCGTGTCAGGAGCTTCTTGATTGCATACGGGGATATGTGAGGGGCTCTTGGGATGCTTCTCAGGTGCATCTTGGAGGGGTCTTTGTTGCATCTGGGGGGCTTCTTGGGAGGCTTCTTGGGGGGCTCTCGGGGGCATCTTGGAGACCTCTTGGGGCCCCTCGGGGGCGCCTCGGGGGCCGCGAGGGGGCTCGTGGGTCCATCTTTGGGAGAACGGCTCGACATATCCGTTCGTATTCGACCTCTTGGTCCACTCTTGGGGCCCTCGTGGGCCTCTCTAGGCCGTTTTGGGGGGCCGCCTTGGGGCTTTCCTAGGGGCCTTCATGGCCCGTTTGGGGGCGACCTTGGGGGCCCCGTTGGCCGTCTTGGACGCTGCCAAGACGAAAGAGGCGAGTGTTACGCTCCCCATCCGGAATGTCACGATTTGGGCTTTTGCGGGCCGTCGCGGCGGTCCTCTGGAAGCACTTGGGCCGTCTTGGGGGCCTCGTTGGCCGTCTCGAAGCAAGTTTGAACCGTCGTGGGGCTACCCTAGGCCGTCTCGACGCTCTCCTGGATGGTCGTGGCGCTCTGTTGGGGCCCTCTTGAGCCGTCTTGGGGCTCTTTGGAAGCTCCTGTGGCCCCGGGGGCTCGTGCCTCGACGGGGGGGGGGCTTCTAATCGGATGCTGGACCCTGGGGGAGGGGCACGGGGAAAGGGGGCGGCCACGTGTCTCACACGCTTTTTCAGCACCAGCAAGCAGAATCCTGGAAGTTGGTTGGTCTATTTGTTTGTAGGTCCTTGGGCCCCCTCCGCAGGGAGGGAATCAGCTTCACTACGACGTTTCTTTTGCGGCGTTTCTTTTCTCTGCTCGTTCCTAGATCTCCTTGGGACTGGTGACGACGACGAAGCCGACGACAGCCTCTCACACACGCCGACTGGGTCGGCGGATTTTTTTGCCCCTGGGCTGTCGGCCTCCTCGATGGGGTCCGAGTGGATGGGGTCGGAGGGTCGCGCCGCAGCGTCGATGCAGCGGTGATGCGGCTCGCTGTGGAGCCCGATATCTTCTCCACGCCGGAGTCGCCGATGCATCGCCGATCTGTCGGCGACGCGTCGCCGGTGCATCGGCGACGCGGAGCGGTCCTCCGAGCCCCTTTGCTCCGGCCCTTTCGAGGAGGCCTACTCGGGCTTTGCGGGCCCCGGAAACGGCAGGGCCGTTTTTTCACCGTTTCCAGAAAAATGTCTTTTGAAAATGGAAACGGCAACAAAAATCGGCGACCGGAAACGGCAAAACAATGGCTCCAGGATTGGAACCGGAGCCGGAACCGGTCAAAAAACGGCGACGGAACCGGTCAAAAAACGGCGTCGGAACCGGCAACAACTTGCAAAACGGAACCGGTTAAAAAACGGCCCTGTCGTTTCCAGGGCCCACTAAGCTCCGACCCCATCGAGGAGGCCCCCTCGGGGCCCCCCTCCGCAGGGCGTGCCGCTGGACGCGCTGTGCTCCGCCGAGGAGGCCGGCGACCTGCTGGCGCTGCGGCAGAGTTTCGGCCCGGCCGCCGCCCCCGCGCCCGCCGCGGCGGCCGCCGCCCCGACGGGCGGCGCGGGCGCCCCCGAGCCGAAGCCTGCGCAGGAGCCCCGGCGCCGCCGCCGACGGAGGCGAAGAGTGCAATCCCAGTGAGAATAGGCGACGCTCGCGTTGCATCTTCGGGGGACCTCGCCTGTCCCCAAAATCGGTGTCTTGTCTCGTGCCCGACGCGGGCTCGATCCGGACTCGACGCGGAGTTGGCGCAGATTCGACGCGGATTCGACACGGATTCGACGCGGCTCGGACGAGGCCGAGATGGATTCGACACGGATTCGACGCGGGTAGGGCCGCGACGTGACAGACAAGGTCCCCCGAAGATGCAACAGACGCCGAGCACCAGGTGGCAAGTCGCGGAGGCGTTCGCTCTTCCTGGATGGGACAGCGCACAGGGGCCCAGGAGCGCCCAACAAGGAGCGCTCACTGCGCCGAAGAGGGCTCACATAGCGACCAACAGCGCCATGTGAGGGAGATATCTTAAGTCCGCTTTTGGCGCGGGATTTGTCGCGCTAGTGGGCGCCATGCGGACGGCCAAGAACTGCTTCCGTGAGTCGTCGTTTTATGATCACCGATAATGAACAACCACAAGTCCTGCTAACACAATAAAGGCGTCGCCAGTCCTAGGTCCCCGTCTTTGCATGAGGGATCGTGCATCTTGGCGGCTTGGCTTGACACATCTGCTGAACAAAAAGGCCCCCTATCCCCAACGCGTTGGGCCTCTAAACCCGGGTCCGCAAGGGGTTAGGGGCCCTTGAATTGTTTAGCAGACAGCGTTGCTTAAACGCGAGCGTTGGGATTTCCGCGCGCATTTCTGTAATCTGCGCTGGACCCCCCCTGGCGGCGCTCCGTGCGCCGCAGCTCCGCGCGCCCCGCGCGCCGGGGAGGGTGGGCTCCGCGCTGGTCCGAGACACCCGCGCGGGGCTCCGAAGCAGCCCGCACTTGCCTCCTCCTCCTCCACCCTCCTACTCCTCCCTCCTCCTCCTGCTGCTCCTCCTCCTCCTTCTCCTCCTCCAGTCTGGGGACCGGCTACGGGGTGGGTCGCGAATGCCCGTTTGGGCCCTTCACTCCTGTTCATGCCGTGCTTCCTTCCCAGGAAGTTCCGACCCTTTCCCCAGGACCGCTTTTTCATCCTGAGTCGTCTCTTGACGCTCCCGAGGGCCAGCGAGGGCCCTTCGAGGCCGAATTTGGCAAAAATCTCTCGTCCTGATTTTTGTTCGACGCGATCATGTCTGGGTTTGTTTCTCCTCCTCTAGGACCACGACTCGGAGTCCGAGGAGGGCGAGCTGCGGGAGGAGGACGAGCCCGCCGCGCGTCCGGCGCCCGCCGCGGCCCCCGCCGAGGCGGCCAGGCCGAGCATGCTGCAGGAGGTGGCCGCGCAGGCGACGAGGCGCCCACGCGCACCACTCGGCACCTGCCGCCCGCGCCCTCCGAGGAGCAGGAGGAGGAGGAGGAGGAGGAGGAGGAGGAGGAGGAGGAGGAGGAGGAGGGGAGGAGGAAGGAGGGAGGAGGGAGCAGGGAGCAGGGAACAGGGAGCAGGGAGCAGGTAGCAGGGGAACAGGATGAGGAGGAGGAGAGGAGAGGAGGGTGGAGGAGGAGGCAGCGCCCTCCAGAGAGCAGGAGGCGGCGTAAGATTGGTGTCTCGGGCGTTTCCGTCGGCGTGCTTCCAGGCGTCGTCGTCGGCTCACGGCGGCGTCCCAGCCTCGGGAGGCGTTCCAGCAGGGGAGTCTCCCCGAGAGCGTTCGGGGGGGGCCAGCAAGGTCCCGGACTGCCGCCGGAGGCCCGAGTTAGGGCCTGAGAGCCACGAGGCTTCCTCTTCCTCCTCCTGCTCCTCCTCATCCTCCTCGTTTTCATTCCTCCTCCTCCTCCTCCTCCTCCTCCTCCGCCTCTTCCTCCTCTCCCTCCCCCTCCCCCCCTCCTCCTCCTCCTCCTCCTCCGCCTCCTCCTCCTCCTCCTCCTCCTCCTCCTCTTGAATCAGAGGTTGGCGAGTCGAGGCAACCGCAGTTGGCCTTCGGGGGCGGGGGGGGCCTCGTAGCCGCGGCGGCTGCTGGGCGCAGCTTGGGCAGCTGGTGCGCCTTGGCCCCGGGAGGGCGCCATGGATCGATTTGGAGCGCGCCCTCGTGCCCCCCCCCCCCTTGACCGAGTTTCTCGGGGCCCATGCAGCGCATCCTCTCCTCCTCCTCCTCCTCCCCCTCCTCCTCCCCTCCTCCTCCTCCTCCTCCTCCTCCTCCCCTTCCTCCTCCCCCTCCTCCTCCACCTCCTCCCCCTCCTCCTCCTCCTGCTCCTTCCCCTCCTCATCGTGCCCCCCCCCTCTTGACCGAGTTTCACGGGGCCCATGCAGCGCAGACCACCCCGGCACCTTCCAAGCCTAGAGACGTACCCTCACGGAGGGCCGCGCCGCTTCTGCTGGGCCGGCGCGGAGCCATCCTCCCCCCCTTGGGCGCACGCAGCGGCGCCAGGGGCCGCGCAGGAGGAGGCCGCCAGGGCGGAAGGGGGGGGGTCTCCAGCGCCAGCACAGACGGCTGCGTGGAGCTCCCAAGGCTTGAGCCTGGGCGTGCGCCTGTGATTCCAGGACAGTCAAGGCGCCGAAAGAAGGGAACAGGTTGGGTTTGCACGGGGCTCGATGTTCCTGAGGCTCTTCTGCGGTTGCTCTAGCCCTTCCCCTGCACGCAGGCGCTCTCTGGGCCAGAAAGGGGGCTTCTCTCCTTCATGGTCGCTCCATACTTCAGCAGCCCGACTGGATTGCGCCTTCTCTTTGTCTCTCTTCTCCTCTCGTCTTGTCTCCACGCGGTGCCTCTGCATGCCTCCTGGAGAGGCCGAGGGGCACGGCTACAGGCTGCGCGTCTTGCGAAGAGTGCACGGGCCCGAGATGCGTGCAGCAGAAGCGGGTTGCGAGGGGGGCTCGTCGGAGTGGGGAGGAACATCCCTAACTTTATCACGGCATGGGCACCTTGGCCTCTCCATCCCGTCCCACTTCTTCAACCCCATGGCAAGAGGGCGGCGCAGAGAAGCGGGGTCGGTTGCACCCAGACTGGCGCGTGAGCTGCCGGCGTAACACGCGCCTTCTTTCCACGCGTGGCGTCGCGCTGGAGGCCCGCATGGCACTCGGCGTAAGGTGGCTATGTCATGGTGTGCAAGACTTATGTTGCTCCCACCGTACATAAGGACCGCATCCGAAACATGTTTTCGAGCACCCAGAAAAGTATCGAAACAGTGTCTCGAGATTCTGGCCTCCCAGGGCCCGACACATGCAGACTCTCAAGTTGGGGTAGTTTCTTCGTGCACAAAATTCATCTTGGTGATAAAGGCTAAAGTGGGTTGGAACATCATGACGCTAGGCCCGTTTCTGATCGTCGCTGAAGTGCTGTGCCGCGGGTGCTTTTTGATTGCACCGGAACGGGCCAGGTCCAAACCTCTGGCGGGTGGTGATGGGAGGTGGCTCGCATGGGGGGTGAAGAGCAGGGCCCCAAAGGGGCCCTGTAGGACTCCTTTTGGGCCCCTGCTGGCCCCGACGGCTGTAGGGCCGGCGAAATTATTGCGAGAAATATCGAGGTCGCGTAGGGCCGGTGAAATTATTGTTTGAGGATGTCTCGAGCGAAACGCGTGTCTGTCAAAATGTGTTGAGGATATCTCGATCGAAACGCTTGTTTTGTGTTATAGACTGTTCCTCTCCCGGGGGCCAAAATTCAGAGAGTGTCTCAGGTGAAGTGCTTGTTTTCACGTGCCCAGGTCTTGAGGATGTCTCGAGCGATAAGTTTGTTTTCACGCGTCCAGGTCGCCCAGGCAGATGTTTAGCATGAGGACTTGTTGGGATGTCTTCAGCGAGACGTTCGTTTTCACACGTCCAGGTTGCCCAGGCAGATGTCTAGCATGAGGATTTGTCGAGGATGTCTCGAGCGGGACGCTTGGCTTCACGTTCCAGGTCGCCCAGGCGGATGTCTAGCATGAGGATGTGTGGAGAACGTCTCGTGCGAAACGCTTGTTTTCACACGCCCAGGAAACCCAGGCGGATGTCTAACATAAAAACGTGTTGAGGAAGTGTCGAGCGAAACGCTTGCTTTCACATATCCAGGTCGCCCAGGCGGATTTCTAGCATGAGGAGGTGTTGCGAACGTCTCGAGCGAAAAGCTTGTTTTCACGTGCCCAGGTCGCCCAGTTGGATGTCTAATTTGAAGATGTGTTGAGGATGTCTCGAGCGAAACGTTTGTTTTCACGTGTCCAGGTCGCCCAGGCGGATGTCGAGCATGTGGATGTGTTGAGGATTTCTCGAGGTAAACGCTTGTTTTCACGTGTCCAGTCGCCCAGGTGGATGTCTAACATGAGGATTTGGCAGGCCGTCTCGAGCGAAACGCTTGTTTTCACGCGTCCAGGGCGCCCAGGCAGATGTCTAGCATGAGGAGGTGTTGATAACGTCTTGAGCGAGACGCTTGGTTTCTCGTGTCCAGGTCGCCCAGGCAGATGTCTAACACAAGAATTTGTTGAGGATGTCTCGAGCGATGCCTTTGTTCTCACGTGTTCAGGTCGCCCAGGCGGATGTCTAATATGAGGATGTGTTGAGGTCTCGAGCAAAACGCTTGTCGCAGTAGAGTGCGTTGCAGTCCAACCCCGCCCGTCCGTGGGGCGTCCACTGGCGCGCCGGGGCGTTCCCTGGCGCGTCTCGTGCGACGTTCTGGCGTAACGTGCTCGGCGTGGCACACTCCCTGGCTCGTCCTCTGTCGCGTTTCCTGGCTTGTCCCCAGGCGTTTCCCCTGCCTTTTGGGTCGCTGTGGGAGTCCGCAGGGCCCTGGCACGTCCCCTGGCGCGTGCCTTGGTACGTTCCGCGGCGCGTCCCCCTGGCGTGTCCCCCTGTCAGTTAGCTCTGGGGCAGCTACGATGTGCTCGGGCAGCTCGAGGTTACGATCCAGATCAGTTCGGTCAGGACTTGGACGCACAGGAGGACTCGATCCACAACGCTACAGAGCACACTCGCGGCATGGCACATCGCAATTCAGCACGGCGTTGCACAGCACAGCCCTTGGCACGGTACGTCAAGATCGATACATTCAGCCTTGCAACTTGGCACGTTCCGTGGCGCGTGTCATGGCGAGTCCCCCTGGCACGTCGCGCGGCGCGTCCCCTGGCGCGTCCTGTGGCACGTCCATTGGCACGTTCCGTAGTGCGTCCTTCTGACACGTCCCGCGGTGCGTCCCCATGGCACGTCCCCTGGCACGACCCCTCTTGGGACGTTCCACGGCGCAACCCCCTGGCGTGTCTCCCTGTCAATTAGCTCTGGGGCAGCTACCATGTGGTCAGGCAGCTCGATCTTAAGGTCCAGATCAGTTCGGTTAAGGACTCGGATGCAAAGGGGGACTCGATCCACAACGCTACAGAGCACAATCGCGGCACGGCACATCGCATTCAGCACCTCGAAGCACAGCACAGCCTTTGGCACGGTACGTCAAGATCGATACACTCAGCCTTGCAATTGCCCGTCGCCCAATCAGGTGTCTTGAAAACGTTGCCATGCCTTACGTTTCTTTATTCCTTTCCGCGTTCGTGGGTCGATCATGTCTTGATCTTCGTCCAGAACCCCCCTCTAGGAGGGCATGTCCGATCTGAGCCAAGTGTCCCTCTCGGTGGTGGCGGCGGGGGACGCGGAGGGCCGGGTAGATGAGGCGGAGGAGAGAGGGAAGGGGAAGAGGGCAGGGAAGGAGTGGAGGAGGCGGGGGCAGGAGAGCAGGAGCAATCAGCAGGAGGAGGGGGGATGGGGGCAGGAGCAATCAGCGTGAGGACGCGACGAGGGGAGGGAGAACGGGGGGGCTCCTCCGCTCCTCCCACCTCCTGCTCCCTCCCTCCCCTGACCGTCATCTTCCGCCTCAGAGTTGCCTGTGCAAGAGCTGGGGAGAAGTGGGGGGAAGGCGGACGGGAGACGGGAGAAGGAGGAGGAGGAGGAGGAGGAGGAGGAAGAGAAATATGAGGACGGGTGGCCCAGCGCGGTGGAGGAGACGAGGGGGGTCCGAAGTGCACCTGCACTTCTGGTCCCGATGGGGCCTCGGGAGGCCTCCAGGGGCTTTCCGAGACCTGGAGGCCTCTGGAGACTTCCAGGGGAGGATAGCATGGGGGCGAGGAGAAGTGGGTCGGCGTCGAGTCCGCTCCACACTTGAAGCTGTGGCATCCTTTAACGACGAACGGGCAACACACACACACACTCATATACCCATACAGTGCCGTTTTTAATGCATGCTCCGTGTGCGGAACATGTATTGAACATGCAGGGATTTAGTATTCAAAACAACGATGAGTTCATGCATGAATTCATTCATACATTCATCATGTATTAAGAATCCCATACATTCAAACATTATATGTCTTAACAAAAAAACTGCCCTGTAGGGAGGTCGGAGGGAGAAGGGCTGGCTATGATTGTGGGTGCGGGTTGTCGGACCCCTGGGAGGCTCCCGTTCGAGCGGGGACCCCCATCCGACAACGCGCACCCGTAGCTCATTGCCTCCTCCCTGTGGGTGCGGGGGCGTGTTGCTCGTTCGTCAGTAAGGGCGACTGCGCGCGGCGCAAAGGCGAGGGCCGCATTTTGAACAGACCTACCCCCTCCGTCCTGGAAGCCGCTGCAAAACTTTTCAGTCGAATGCGCGGGACTGGGGCGACAGTCGCATTCTCAAAAGGCACCGCCCTCCATTGTCCAAGTGCTGCAAACGTTTTAGATGCATGCGCGCGGCGCTCAGGCGAGAGTTTCCATTTCGAATGTTCGTTCCTCCATCCTTGAGGCTGTCGCAACGTTTAAGACCTATGTGCGCGGCGCTAAGGCGAGAGGCACGTCCTGTAAATAAGGGGAGGAGGCAGAGGAAGAAGTGGAGGACTGCCGTTGCCTGTGACACTTTGTCGTCACCAGGAGAAGGATGAAGAGGAACACCTTTTCGTCGTTCGTCGTGGGAGAGAGAGAGAGAGAGTGAGAGAGAGAGAGAGACAGAGACAGGGGGAAGAGAGAGAGAGAGAGAGCAACCTTTCATGTGGCACGCTGTTCCGTTCCGTGTCGGGGTGTATATCTTCGTCGTCGTTTTCCTCAATGTATGTGGTTCCTTCGTCTTGCTTGGAGGCCTCCGGTGGGCGTCTTGGGCCATATCAGCAGGCTGGGGGCCTGGGAGATCCTCGGGCCGTCTCCGGGCGCTCTCGGGCTGTGTGGTGCGTTCGGAGTTCGGCCTGCATCCCTGGGTCTCTTTTGGGGCCCCTTTGGTGCCGTCTTTGGCGGCTGTTCGGATGTTTGGGCCTTGGATCCTCTGGGGTTCTCCCGTTCCATCCTCGTTGCAGGAGTATGGGGTTCTCCTGGTGGGGCCCAGGGCCCCCTGGGAAGGGCGAGGGGAAAGGGCGCATCGCATAGCCTCTCACTTCGTACACCCCCCGCCGACCCCCCCCAGGTGGCGCCCGTCCCTCTCTGTTGGTGGGGACGTGCGCTGAGTGGACCAGGGGTCTCTACGCGGCGGTTGCCTCGAGCATCTTGGAGGCATGTCGGAAGCTATATGGAACCATCGTCGGCTATCTTGGAGCCATCTTGGAGCCATGGTTTGGTCATCTTGGGCGCCCTAACGCGTCGCGAGCCCTCCAGAAAAACCTCAGAGAGGGGGGGAGGTAAATCTCCCAGAAGTGAAGAGGGAGTTTTGGAGCCGGAAGACAGAACTCGCTTGTCCACCTTAGCCCAAAGGGCTGCTGGGGTTTCGAGCCCAGCGTCCCAAGAGGGCCCCCGAGACCGCCAGCAGGTCACCTAGAAGCCTCACGGAGGATCCCTGAGGCCCCCAAGAAGCCAACAAGAGGCCCCTAGCCGGCCTCCAAGAGGCCCTGACATGCTTCCAAAAGGCTCCCGCGAGGCCTGCCAAAAAGACCCCTAGAAGCCTGTGAGAGGTCATGCGTTCACATCGTACACGATGTTCCCTGGGATATTGAATCGAATCAGATCTGAGGTCGCCCTCGAGACATCTGGAGGCCGTTTGGGGGCCTCTTGGGGCCTCTTTTGAGGCCTATTGGTAGTATTTCTGGGACCTGGGACGTCACGGGGGCCTCTTGGGGGCCTCTTGGGTATCTCCTGGGGCCTCTCGGGGTCCTCATGCGCCTAGAGCTCGAAATGATCGTTCGGGTCACCCGACTGGGCCTGCTTTTGGAGCTGTCTTGGGAGCCTCTTCGGCCATCTTGGAGGCCTCTGGGGCTGTCTTGGGGTCCTCTGGGGCCGTTTTGGGCGCTCTTGGAGGCCTCTTGGGCCGTGTTGGGGCGATCCTGAAGCCTTTTGTCCGGAGGCAATATTTGGCGTCTTGGATCGCTCTTGGACCGTCTCGGACCCTGCTGAGCTCTCTTCGAGGCCACTTGAAGTGCTCCTGGAGCGCTCTTGGGAGCATGCTGGGACCTGACCAGGACCTGGCCGGGGTATTTTTCGTCCAGGGACCCCCAGGGGCGGCCCCGCTCGCGCGAAGTAGAAATATTGGTAACCAGTCACTGGAGATCTTGGCACGCCCTTGGCCCGTTGGGCTGGCGAATTCCTAGACGTTCCCAGATGGCGCCGGCGCGAACTGTGACGCTCCGGCCCCCCATTCCCTCCCCGGTAACGCCCGTTTATCGTCCCGGAACGAAGAACGCTCTCTTAGGGTATGTCCCCGCTTCAAGACTAATCAAAGTCATAATTTCGATAGCACAACGTTGCCACGTGACCGACAAGATAGCCAAGACAAGCCCTGGACGGCCCATCATGGCGCCAAAGCCGCTTGTACGCGCCTCCACGATGGGACGCTCGAAGGGTCCCTCCAAGAGTCACTCCAAGAGGACTCAGAGAGGTGAACAGCATAGATTTTCACAGCCTCTGAACCTGAGGGTGCCACCGCATCGCCGGCTGAAATCATGTTGCCCGACGGTATGCCTAACGCTGCCCCGCCCAGCGCCACCGAGCACGCCTTCCACCAGCAGTGCCTGGTGTGGTTCCTCAACGTGCGCGAGGCGCAGTACCAGCGCTCCTTCGCCGAGGCGCGGCCGCCCCGCCCGGCGAGCGAGCACGGCACCGCGCCGCGAAGATGTCCCGTGCGGCAGGACCAAGCCAATAACCCACCGAAAAATCGGCCCAGAACCAATAGCCGGGAACCCGGGACCCCAGCTTGCTACCAACATCGGCGTGTATTTTTTCGCCCAATTTCCCAATTTCCGCCAGGACCCCTTCAGTGCAAGCACCGATTGGGGAAAAACGCGATCAACATGAACGGCGGCAGGTTCGCGCCCGCGATGACGCCGACGTTGGTTTCTGACGCGTGGACCGTTCGACCCTGGGACGGTCGCGCCATGCGACCTCGTTGGTCTCGTGGGTCTCGTGGGTCCCCACCCTTGGCATCGCTCGGACGTGTGCATTGTTCCTTCGGCGAGGACCATCGAGGAGCATCCTTGATCATTTGGCGAAAAAACCACGCACGAAACCGAACAAAAACACAGGGAATGGACGTCTGAGCGATGGCGAGCCACCATGAAGAAGAAAAACGGCACAGCCAGGAACTCTGGGCGCTCCCCGCGGATTTCTTGGATCCTGCTTCTTCCACCTCCTCTCGTCGTGAGGTGGGTCACTTAGTGGGCCCTGGAAACGAACGACAGGGCCGTTTTTTTACCGGTTCCGTTTTGCCGTTTTTGTTGCCGGTTCCGACGCCGTTTTTTTACCGGTTCCGTCGCCGTTTTTTGACCGGTTCCGGCTCCAGTTCCGATCCTGCTTGGATGGCCGACAGAGTTGTTGTAGCTTGTAGTACGTATAGTTAACATCATACATACTAATATGTCACATAACATGTAGCTAACAGAGACTTAACTACACACATATATACACTTATTAGCCAACTTAATAAGTCGAATAAGTCTAGGTGTTTGTTCGGATGTTTGTTTTTTTAAGGGCGCCAGTTTTTTTGGTTGGCGTCGTCTGCTGGTTGGACCTGCGGTTTGCCTGCGTTGTGCGTGTTTTCTGGGCGCGCTTGCTTGATGATCGTTGAGCGTTTGTCAGGTTACGCCAAAAAAAAACTCCTCCTCCATATGTTCCTGCTCCTCCTCCTCCTCCTCCTCCTCCTCCTCCTCCTCCCTCTTCGGCGGATTACCGCCTTCTTGATCCTCCTCCTCATCCTTCTTCGGCGGATTACCGCCTTCCTCCTCATCATCCCTCTTCGGCGGATTACCGCCTTCTCGATCCTCCTCATCCCTCTTACCGCCTTCTCGATCCTCCTCCTCGTCCCTCTTCGGCGGGTTACCGCCTTCCTCCTCCTCCTCCTCCTCCCTCTTCGGCGGATTACCGCCTTCTTGATCCTCCTCCTCATCCTTCTTCGGCGGATTACCGCCTTCCTCCTCATCATCCCTCTTCGGCGGATTACCGCCTTCTCGATCCTCCTCATCCCTCTTACCGCCTTCTCGATCCTCCTCCTCGTCCCTCTTCGGCGGGTTACCGCCTCCTCCTCCTCCTCCTCCTCCTCCTCCCTCTTCGGCGGATTACCGCCTTCTTGATCCTCCTCCTCATCCCTCTTCGGCGGATCACCGCCTTCCTTATCTTTGCATGCTGCGGCGGATCAACCGCTTTCTTTCCTCCTGATCCGCATGCTCTCATTCTGCGGATCAGCCGCATTTCCCCTCCCCACCCCTTCCGCGGATCAACCGCGCGCCCCCCATCCTTCGATCTTGCGGATCAGCCGCGTTCTCGGGCGGCTCTACGCCATCTTCTGTCGGCGGGTCACTCGCCTCCTCCCTCTTCCCCCCCCATCCGCAGCCTTTTCCGCCTTTCATCGCAGCCTTTTATCGCAGCCCCTTTTGGCTCGGGCTGCCGCGGGGCGGCGGCGCGTCTCCTGCACGAGAATGGCGCTCCAGCAGGAGCTCCTTCAGCGCGCCGAGGGGGTGGGCCCCTTACTGCGCGCTGCGAGGGACCAGGGCGAAGCCGCGTGGAAGCAGGCGTCGGGTGCACAGGCTGCTCGGCTGGTCGAGCTCGTCGGATTGGTGCGCCCGCAGGGCCAGTTGCTCATTCGTCTCGCGGGTTTGGCGCAGCAAGACGGCTTCGCGCCTGCCGACGCACAGCTGTTGCAGAACGCCTTGGCCACGGCAGCCTCGAGCAGCGGCGGGGCGTGGAAGTCGCAGGACTTCGAGCATTTCCCGTATTTCTTGAGTGGTGAAGTGTGGGCCGTGCTCAGCGACCCCCATGGGGACGTCTTGCACAAGGCTCGGTCTGTTCTGTCGTTTCTCTCGTCGAAGCTGGGCCTCAAGAGCCCGTCAGAAGGCACCCTCGCGCACGTGACGGCCCTCGTGACGATCTGCGTAGATGGGGCCCCAGCGGCCCGCAGCATGAGCCCCCACTTCTTGAAAGACACCTTTGACCACATCAAGACGATGTGGAAGGGCATGGTCAAGGCAGAGCCCTTGGAGAAGATGGCCGCGCTCCCAGCTGACCCCGACGCGTTCCGAGCTGCGTTCCCCGCCACGTGGGCCTCTGCGTACGGCGGCGGTGGTCCTGCGAGCATCGGAGTGTCTTTCGTCGATGTCTCCGTGGTGGCTAAATCGTTCAAGTGGCGCGAGAGGCAGCGCGCAGGGTCCGCGTCGTCGGCGCCACTTTTGCAGGCTCTGCAGAATATGATGGGTCAGACGCTGCAGCAGCCTCAGCAAGAGAGGCTCGCGAACGGTGCGGTGTTGACGTTCGCAGGGAAGCAGCCGCGCAGCCTCGCTGGCGTGCAAGCGGCTGCGACGTCGGCCGCAGGGCAGCTCGCGGTAACGGACCTCCCGCAGCAACAGCAGCAGCAGCAGTTGCAGCAGCAGCAGCAAGACAACTACAACCTGCAATTGCAGGTCAAGCAGCTCCAGGAACAGCTGCAACAGCAGCAGCAGCAGCAGCAGCATCAGCCGCCGCAGCCTCAGCCCAGTCAGTTCGCCCTCGAGGACGCCCACTCGGCGGGTGCCTCTGCAGGAGGGGCCCCGCAGGCGAAGAAAGCGAAGAAGGTGGACTCTGTGGAAGCAGCGGCCATGCAGGTACACGCTGCCATGCAGCAGGAGAAGGAGACCAAGGCCAAAGCGAAGGCCAAGGCGAAGCCCGCTGCCAAGACATGCGTGCTGAAGAAACCAGCGTCGGCACCTGTTGGCAAGGCGGCGGTGGTGACCAAAATCAGCGTGGAGAACACGCGCAGCCAGTGCGTCGCGCACTACGGGAGGGGCCCTGGCTCGACCAAGGTGTTCAAATGGGGCCCGAACACAGGCTACACGAAGGAGACGTCCGAGAAGGCCGCCAAGCAGTGGATCGAGAATCGGCTGCGCGTCGGCTGAGGGGGTGACGGCTACGCGTAGCTGTCGGCACGACGCGTGCCATATTCAGTGCAGCCATGCCGACGGATGGCCGTCAGTATGAGCACTTTGCCATGACGTGGGTAGTGCTACGGATGGCATCGGCTTTTGGTTTCTTCGCCTGGCGCGCGTTGCGCTCGTGATGAAGCTCGTTCTTCTGTGAACTCGTTGCACCTCTATGCGCGCCACTGCTTTGAAAGAAAAGGCGTTGAAAAAAGTGCGGGTCAACCGCTTTCAGCGGATCATCCGCTACTTACCACGTTGTGCCAGGTCGGGGCAGGGAGGTCTGAGCAGGAATATGGAGGGATGGCATGACTAGGAAGGGATGAGACCGAGCAGAAGTTTGCCAGTGAAAAGGGAACCGCCGCTCTGGTCCAGAACCGCCCCCGCTCTGAATCGAAGCCACAGGGGCAGAACGGTGGCGGTTCTAGGCCAGAACGGTAGCGGTTCTGGACCAGAACGGGCAAAAATGGAGGTTCATGCGCGTTCGATGCCGTAGCCGTTTGCGCTCGCAGGGGCGCGCGCGGGCGCGCGCGGCGGGCTCGGCGCGCAGGGCGCCATGGCGGCGCCGAAGAGGTCCGCCTTCGAGGACCTCCAGAGCTTCTTCGAAGAGGCCGACGGTGCGTTCGATCAGATGGACGCCGAGAGGTCGCACGTGATCGGCTGCCTCAGGAAGGTGCTCGAGGACTCTGGCCACGTGGAGGCTGCGGACGTCCGCGCACCCCGCTGGAGGAGCCTGCAGCTGCTGCTTCGAGCTCTGCTGCGTCGGCGACTCTTGAGGTGGAGGTCGATCGCCCCGTTCGCCCTCGAGAGCAGGTCGTCGACGTCGACGCTCTGGAGCGCTCGGTCGACAACGTCCTGCGTGAAGGCGACGCGAACTCCGCGGGCGACGCGCCCATGCCCGACGGCGCGGCGGAACGCGTCCAGCAGCTCATGCTGCGGGATCCAGAGTTCGCGCGGATCGCCTTGCTCATGGTGATGAGTCCGCTCTCCGTGGACTGGAACGACCCCGCCGTCATCAACGTCGAGAAGACGCTGATCTTGGAGTTCCAGTGCCACAAGAAATTCAGGCAGCGGGGTCCCCCTGGCCCATTGCAGGGAGGGCCCACGGAGTGGAGGGGCCAAGCCTGGAGGCAGAACAGCGGTCGGTGGGGCTCCCGCGGCGGCCGCAGCGTGCGGCTTGCCGAGTTCCAGGCGAAGTTCGGCAAGGAGCGAGGCACGGAGGCTTTCCTCGAGGACGAGGACCGACGCCGCAGCTTGCGGCAAGACAGCTTCGTGGCGAAGTTCGGCATGGAGCGAGGCACCCAGGCCTTCCAGGAGGACGAGGCCGCTCGCGCGAGCAAGTCCAAGGCGGTCGCGCGCATGATGGCCGCCCCACCGAAGGCCCACCAGCCGAGGATGGTGCTGCCGACGGTCGACCCTCCGACCAGCAAGGCGCGCCCGACGCCCAAGATGGTCGCGCCCGTGCCGATCGCGCGGCCCGCGGCCAAGGGCAAGAGCAAGGAGGCGGTCTCCAGCAAGGGCACTGCTGGCAAGCACGGCAAGGGCTCCGACGAGGACACGGACAAGGGCTCCGACAAGGGCGTTCGCAAGGGCACGGCCGTCAAGAGCAAGGGCGGCCACAAGGGCGCGGACAAGGGCAAGGACGCGCACGTGGTCAAGAACGTCCTCCAGCCCACGTCCAAGCGCCCCGCGCCTCGGACGCCGTCGCCGCATCGCAGGCCTAAGCGGCGGGCGACCAATTCGCAGGACGCCAGCGGGCGCGGGCCGTTGCCTTCCTGTGACGCGCGCTATTGTTCTTGGAAAAAAATACGCGTACTTCCTCGGCGGCTCATCCGCCATGGCGGTTTATCCGCCTGTGTGTGCACGAGTGTCGCTGCGCGCGCGTCACGCGTGTGCTTCCTCGGCGGCTCACCCGCCATGGCGGTTTACCCGCCTGTGTGTTCGCCACGCACATGCTCTCGCACCGTTTTTTCTGTATAGGCGTTTTGGCTCGAACGCGAAGCGCACGTGGGCCGCCCGTCGCCGCCAGCTTCCGCATCCATGTCGGACGCTGCGTCCTCCTCCGCTGATGTCCAGCCTGCTGCCGCGCACGCTGACGACGGAAGCCCGACGTGGATCATGTGGGGTGGGAAGTGCCCCTTTGGCTCGCAGTGCAGCAAGCGCTCGGCGACCATCAAGTCGTGCCACTCGTACGAGGATGCCGTGGAGTCGATCATCCATCACTTGGTGACGTCGCCCTACCACGAGCTCGAGCGCTCCGAGGCTGAATCGGCCGTCGACTTCAACTTGATCGAGTCCTGGGAGGTCGACAAGAAGAAGTGGGCCGAGGAGCAGGACAGGTGGCAGAAGAAGCAGCGCAAGAGCTTGCCGTGGCAGCCCACCGCGGAGCCCGCCATCAGCGCGCCGCCGACGGGTGCTGGCACGGGTCGCATCACGCTCTCGGAGATGCAGGTGAGGGCCTGCGTCGACTCGCTGAAGCGTGCCAAGGTCTCGGCGGAGAGCGCGGCCAACCTCTGCGCCAAAGCGGCTCGGGCGTTCAACGAGGAGGTCACGTGCATCCAGCAGTGCGTCGAGGTGATCGAGTCGTACGTCCAGCCGACGCGCGTGCTCCCCCTGCGCTAGGCTGCTGGCGGAGCTCAGGTTTTGGCCACGCGCGTCGGCGCCTCGCTTAGCACGCCCACGTCGGGTGCTCATTCGCGGGCTCGGACGCCGAATCTTTGCTGGGAACACCAGCACACCTTCCTCGTCGCTGCGCTCATCATCTTGGATCATTGTCACGAGCGGTTCACTCGCTGATCGGCGGATCATCCGCCAAGGGAAGGGCATCGGCGGGTCGACCGCCATACAGCGGATCATTCGCTACTCAACGATGTGACCGATAACAACCGATAACGACCGATAACGTTTCGATAACGATGTTATCGGATCGACCGATAACAACCGATAACGCCGATAACGCTATGTTATCGGCAACGAAACCACATCCGATAACATCAAAATAACATCCGATAACGTCCGATAACGTCCGATAACGTCCGATAACGGTTATCGGAGCCGAAATTGCATCCGATAACGTTGTTATCGGGTGTTATCGGTGATCGTTATCGGATGTTATCGCATGTTAGCGCGACATCCGATAACTGTTATCGGTATGTTATCGGTTGTTATCGGATGTTATCGGATGTTATCGGTATGTTATCGGGCTTATCGGATGTCATCGGCCGTCATCGCCCTCCTCCGCGGTTTCAGATATTTTGCCGCCCGCCATCTTGGACATCCACCTTCGCCCGCCCTGAAGCTCAAACCGAGCGTGCGAATGAAATCGAAACAAATCCTCCTTTTCCTCTGGCACACTGAGCGTGGTACTCCGTTTATCTTACCCCTCCCTCGTCTCGATTGAAACCGTTCTGCTATAACGAAGCGCGACTCGATAGGATCCGTTCTTCTCTTCTCTCCGCGCCTTCGCGTACCTCCAGGGGAAAACATTTGCACAGATCGTGTTCTGGACCAGTTGTTTTTTTCTCTCCACGTACCGCATCCTCCTCTCCTCCATCCGCAGCCGTTGTGCTTGCAGGGCAACGCGCGCGGGCTCCTTGCTTCTGCGCCCCCGTGTCCCATCTCGCCTCTCGCGGTTCCGATGTCGCTGCAGTTGGCCTTGATGCCACCGCCTGCCGCGGCGCCCGTGCCGACGGCTAAGGCCAAGGGCAAGGCCAAAGCCAAGGCCAAGTCGAAGAGCAAGACGGCCACCGTCGAGATGGCGAATGACGCAACAGTTGCTTGGTGGACAAAGTTCAAGTCGCCTGGGTCGGTTGTCTCTGGCTCGGAGGCTGCCGATAGCCCGACGGCGACGACGCTGGCGCTCGCAGCTCCTGGGGTGGCCGACTTGGGAGACTTCGAGGATGCGCCCGAAGGCGACGATGTTGCCTCGTCGGGGGCCGCTGCCTCGTCCGAACCGCTTGCCGTCGAAGACGCCGCCTGCTCGCCGACTCCGACTCAGGAGGTGGCAGACAAGGCTTCTCCCCCGGTGCTCAAGCCGACTCCCACTCCAGGCGAGGTCTTCGCCTGGCAAGGTCCTGAGGCCAAGCGCGAGCCGTCGAACCCAACGTGCTACAGGTGCAAGCAAGAGGTCGATGTCTTGAGGGCACCACTGATTGGGAAAGGCCAGGGCTCGTGGAAGTGCGAAAAGTGCAACACGCGCGGAACGCAGTTGTCCCGCTTGTTCGGATCGTGGCCACCTGCCAGCTTCAGGAGGCTTGACTCCTCAGTGCAAGCGAAGTTCTGGCAAGATGCAAAGGAGAAGGCTGGTAAGGATCAGCTCGAGGAGCTGTTCGTCCAGACTCTCACGACGACTCGGATCGAGCAGGAGGTTGCCCAAGTGGGCGGGGAGTATCTGCCGTTGTCAGTTTACGCCCAGCGTGGGTTCGATGTTACACGCATCGAGAAGGAGTGCAAGGACACCGAGGAACACAAGATCCTCGGAACTTGCTACCGCGTGGACATCAGGGGTGGCTATTCGAAAACGATCGAGCAGCTCGCCCGCGCCGAGGTGCAGGAGCTGAAAGCGAAGGCGAAGGCGCCGCCTCCGACGCAGCCGACGCAGCCAGCTCCAGGCAAGAGCGAATCAGATGATTCGGAAAGCGGCTCGAGCAAGACGAGCAGCAAGAAGGGGAATAAGTCGAAGAAACAGAAGAAATCCAAGAAGCAGTCCAAGAAATCCAAGAAGGCCGACAAGAAGGACAAGCGCGACAGGAAGGACAAGAAGTCCAAGAAGCGCGCAGCGTCCTCGACCTCGGATTCGGATTCGGACTCGATGTCTGAGAATGACAAGGGCCTGCAGGCGAAACAGAGGAAGCTCGAGCAAGAGAAAGCCAAACAGGCCAAGAAGAACGTTGCCCTGGCGACCCGCGTCTTGTGCAAGATCGAGAGGCCCAGGATTTCTCTTGATCGCGATCTCAAGGATCCGATGTCGAAGCACGTGCCGAAGTACACCATCGATCCAGCCAAGAAAAAGCTCAAGGAGCTTGAGAAGCTTTACTCTGAGTTCAGGAAGGTCCACGACGAGCGTGGCATGGGGGGTGAGGTGACGACAACGGTGGCTGAAGTGGATGACCTTGTGAAGACTTCGATCGAAGCTGCCGCGCTCCTTTCCAAGCTGCTGAGCACTGCGAAGAGCAACGTTCCGAGCGGGGACGACGTGTAGGCTCTCCCCGTCTGCGTCTGCCGTGACCGCCCGTCTTCTCACTGCCCGTCTGAGTCTCTGCGGAGACGACGTGTTAGGTCGGCGCTGCAGTCGCGCGGGAGGCACCGTGCATGCTTCCAGCCAGCTTTGGCTTCAGGTCCGCCCTGACGACGAGGGGCTGACATGACCCAGCGCTCGATTAGCCCTGCAGTTTGCCATGACGTGGGTAGTGCCACGGATGGCGCCCGACCGCGCGAGCCCCGACTGCACTTGCTAGTCTCAGGGGACACGCCGCGATCACGGGATAGCGCTCAGTTTGCAGTAGCGCTCGGGGTTAACTCACACCGACTTCAATGGGAAGTTGCTCGTGGAAAACCCATCGATAAAAAAAGCGGTTCAACCGCTCGGCGGATCATCCGCCAATCATTTTCTTCCTCTTCTCAAGCTCAGCCGCGGCTCAACCGCTGAAAAATCCATCAATCAAAAAAAAGCGGATCAACCGCTCGGCGGATCATCCGCCAATCATTTTCTTCCTCTTCTCAAGCTCAGCAGCGGTTCAATCGCTGAGCAGGTTATCCGCTAGTCGCTCATTCCTTTCGTCGGCCATTTCTTCCTCTCATCCACCGTACTTCCATTCCTCCTCCTCCTCCTCTTCCTCGGAGTCACAAGGACTTATTGGCCTCGGTGCAAGGGGGGGTGGAACGACCCAGACGACGTCGACGAGGGGTCGCGTTCCACCCCCCGAGGGTTAAAACTGAGGCCAAACTGGGGCCTCAGTTTTAACCCTCAAGCGGGCCAGGTCACCGTAGGCCATGGGCGTATACGCTGTCCTTTCATCTGATCGCTCCTGATCGCTCCTTCCTTGCGTTCCCCGTGCTTCCATTCCACGCCTCCTCCCGCTCCTCTCCCTCCTCCTCCTCTCCCTCCTCCTTCGCCTCGCCCCCTTTCACACATCCCTTCCCCTCACTCCCCCATCATCCTTCTCCTGCTGCTTGTGCTGATGTAGGTTCAGCATCTCCGCCCCGTCGTTCTTTCCGCAGCCATTTCAGCATCGGGCGATCGGCGCCCTGTCCCGCCTCCCGCCCCTCCACCGCTGCCTCCCCGCTCGCCTCTGTCGGCCATGGAGCCGCTCGCGAAACGGCAGAGGATCCTCGATATGTTGAGCAGGCGGAACTTCAGCGAGAGCGACGTCGTGGCGGCGCTCGCCGCGCTGGGAAGAGATGAAGCGGCGTCTCGGCGAGATGTGCGGGAGTGCGTGGATACGTTCACTGCGGACGTTCTCGTTCAGCTTACGCT